GAGAATTACATGTTTATTAATCAGCTAACGTCCAACCATTCCTACGGAAACTACAAACGGTTGCTAGGTTACCATTATCCATCCATCCTGTTTGTCTCATAGACGCTATTAGAAGCTGCCGAGTACTTCCGAGTAGTTATAATGACAGCACCCAGAGGACCTATTATGACGAGACAAGAGGTTCAGAACGCTTTGTAATTATTTTGGCATTTGGACGATAACTTTGAAAATTACAGAAACTCGTACATACATTTATATTTCTACTGCAAAATTTTGTACAAAAATTAATCCGACACTTTCATAGATAATGGTGTAAAAACGCTGCTAAATGGCGCATTCATAAAGATAGAAACCATTAATTTGTAATAAAGAAATCAATTAAAATCCCAAATACTTTTCAAAAACTGTGTAGGGAACAAAATTCTTTCAGGATTGGGCATAGGAAATAGTTGTATGGCTACCAAACGACGCAGGAAATAGGACCCTGGAACTCTTCATGCCGTCATCAAACAAAGCTTCGTAATAAATTGAAAGCCATTTGCGGATTCCCAAGCCTAATTTTGTCATTGGTATTCATATAACCGTTTCGCGTCACATCCATGTATAGCGGTCTTCAAGTTAGTGGACCGACACACTATTTAGGACAGCGTCTAGTGCATTAACAAATCTGTCACGTGACTTTAAATCCCAGTTCCGGTGGGAGGATGGATCGCCTTTCCCATCTCATCTAATACAATCCGGCGCTGATTTTGCTGCAGGTGCCATTAGCGACTGTTTCAATACGGGCTTGCGTGACTCAGGCCGAGCACGCCCAAATTATGAACTGGTGTAAGCATAAGAAATACAATGCACTGTTGTTAAGTGATGACAAACACAATAAAAACGCCATTAATGTCTAATTACCTGTAAACGTTATAAGAAAAGGAGACGTTCCAAATGTAAACATTTCATATTACAGGTAAACGTTGTAAGAAAAGGAGACGTTCCGAATGTAAACAAGGTAATGTGAAACACTACCTTGATGAAAGTGTCAATTATCATATTCATAGATTTCGTTAGGTTAGTTTGAGTCTCACTTATTGAATGCGTGCATACAATGAAATATTCTGAACCGAAATGGAATGCGTGTTTGGTTGATAACCATTACTGTTGTTGATAATTAGCAGAATAAACATCTCGGTGAATTTCCTGACATCCCGTTGAGGATCAATTGTTATTAGTTCCATTGTGTCAATTTGGCGTCGACCTTCGCGTGCTTCTCTGAATCCAGACACCTTAAAGGGTATACCCATCAATACCGTGGTGTTTCCATGGGTGACAATTATTTTTCAATACAACTCTAACACCACGTATATGAACAAATCACGCACTGTTACTGGACAGTGAAAGGTCGTTTTCATTTCGGAAGCGTTTCAATCATTTTATGTCTTTTCCAATCTTTTTTAATATTCCTACATAAAGAGATAGTAACTGGAATAATACTATCATTGTATACGCAATATAAATTTATATATATTCTTGTCAAATGTATATATAACCAATTAAGTAAGCACGATCGTGATCTCAATTGCTACATTATAGCTTCACAGAACTCCATTTGTAGAAGCGATTAGAAGCACCTGCAGGAGTTAGTTGAACAAATGATAAAATCGCATTTAGAAATAACACATATATTTATAGGTAATTTGTTTACTATTGTTTTGTGACGATCATTCGAAAACAAAATTTGTAAATAACATTTCGACCCTCCCACACAAAACATGGTATCTGGTTGGTCTCACCTAACTACGTTCGAAGGTAAACACAGTCTTCCCTAATCAATTGACATGGCCAAGTCACATTTACCTGTACAATTATATAAGAACTACATTGTTCTGTTAAAGGTATACACCTTCTATGGATTAGCAAAGTTTACCGAGCACAACGTGATGGCCTCTGGTACACATCGGGATGCTGACGCCATCTTGTTCTTTATTTGTGTTTTCTGGCCAGCTGCAGAGGAGGGGGTATAAGTTTTGTTCCTATAACATGTTGAATGGCATGGCGCCAAATACGGTATTCCTATATCAGGCAAGCATATTGCACAAAACCCTTGTTTCTACGTAAAGCAAACCTTGCCTCGACTAAGGCCACTGTAGGTGTCAAGGAGTCAAAATAATTTAATGTCTTTAAAAAGCCGACTGCACTTCGCCAAAAGACACTATAGATGACATATCTCAGTCTGTATTTTAGTATTTTGTTTTATAATCATTAACGTACCAATAAATTTGGCATATGAAATATATATATCCAATGCAAAGTATACACAAACGTATGTTAAGAGTGATGTAGCACATTTTCTCTTTCACATTATCAATTTGCTTGTAATGATTTTTATTCTATTTTTTAATACAACATCGCTTATCACAACAAACTCAAACATCTACATATAGTCGAACATCGCATATTGGCACTGTGATACGAATTATGTATCGGAATAATCAACAAAGTGGTATATTGAAAGCAACCGATAAATGAATAAAATAAATATGAAAAGCTAAATAAAGTTGAATAATGTTGAATGTGTGCAGTGCATGGTGCTGGAACGACATACGTCACAGAAGCTGAGGTCAAAAAGTCCTCAGTACTCGCAACAGGGTTGTGGATGACATTTCCAAGCGAGGGACCCTTCCTGAGGACACATCGGAAATAAAACACACACCGAAACACGAAGCTGGTTACGAAGGGAAAATAATACACCATATGTGTGTGTGCACATCGACAAATGACATCAAAAAGAAATTTTGTCTGCACCAGAAATGTTTGTGATAACATATTATTCTTAAAGAACGAACAAATTGTCTTTATTTATTCTTTTAATTTATTCTTAAAATGTTGGCAAAATGTACTGTATATCCTTCAAATGTCGTTAGGTTTGGTAATTTGTTAAGAGGATCGACCGCAACTCAAAGTGCACCGCGAAAACAGGTTGATGGATATCTCAAGACGTTAATTAAAGCAGCCACGAGAACTACATATTCACTTATATTACTTTAATGACAATATGACCTATATAACAATGTATCATGCTTGTGAACAAGCATTTTATTTTTGTTCATTCATTAACAAAGGATTACTCAGTAATATTGAAGTACCGAAGTTAGATAACATTAAAAATAAGTTACTGTACAAATCCTTGCATAAGTGCAATCCTATATCAGCGTATCTAACATTTTTGATATTGCGGTTTCCAACGTTTAGGAATGTACCTTTACTTTACTAGAAGTGCTCAATAATGTGCTGTATTTGTGGAGTTACCATGGAAATTGTAAACATTCTACTACCGAACAAAATGGCACTGATTATATCACGTTTTAAATATTTATGTTCAGATAAAATTCAAGAAAAAAATTATCGTGATTTCTGGAGCAGACGGCTAAGAAAATGGATGAAGTTGTCAACGAAGGTAAAAGTAAAACAGTGACGAGAGAAATGTCAATACCCTATATTGGACCCTCAAACATGACGTGCCTTGTCTGCAAAATCAAAACACAGCGTTCTGGGGTTACCATGGAGATACATATCTAAACAGTTCATCCCTCAACTCGAAAGTTGAAATAATAATTCAAACTAAAATTCACTCTGTTTAAATTCAAATTTCTTAACGCGCATATGTTCTAGTTATGTCGGCATACTATTGATGACGTCATGAAGAAAGAATTTCCTTATAAAAGAATGAACAATGGATGTTTTGCGGAAAATGAATAACTATTTAACCAAATACACAGAAGGAAATTTGTCATTCGAAATGATATTAATAGTATATTTTGATAACGCTACTGTTTTAAACGAGCATAATTAATTTACTGTCTTTGTAATTTCGGGATGCGTGACACCCAAATATGTCAAAATCAAAAACCTTATTCAAATCGTTAGGACGGAATGACAAGTCCTTATTACAATAAAAATATACCTTTAGATGTTCTTGTTTTATTCAGATATACCAACACAACGTTTCTCTGTAAAACCACTGATGACGTTTAACACAAAAACTGGGATTTCCTTTACGGCTGGTCTGTGTAACGCCTCAGAAAGGTCACTTGTCTAGTGAATGAAATACTCCAACAACATTGTGGTTTTGTATGAATGAATTACAATATTATTATACCAACAATGGAACAACGCCAGATCTATCGCGTTGTAGGGAACGGGTAATGCACATGCGTGTATGATAGACCGCAGTGTGGTGTATCGCAGGAGTCCCATATAAAAATCACAACAAAATGCACTTGCTTTTGTAAGAAAGAAAAAATGCTTTAAATTATTCTTATGCAACGTCATCATTCGCGAAAATATTGTTTAATAACAAAAAAGTAATTGTATGATACAGAAGAGGTTTTAAAATAAGTATATGATAGAGGAAAATATAACAAAATAGAACCAAATATATATAAAATAAAAGTTTGGATACCATCACATAATTATATTGAACTTAGTATAATGTAATTTACCCTACAAATACCGACACTCCATCGCATCGCATCAAATACATGAACTAAAAATATCGGAAGCAGGAAGCAGGAATATGTAAAATTATATATTATTAGTCCTAAAGTACAGGTATCATTTAAGCTCCTCATTACATCAGTTTAACATTACCATTTTTTTCTAAAACATACGTATTTTCTTTAGATTTTAAATACGACAAATGAGCAAACTTCAGAATTGAACAAAAGTTCTATCCGATTGTGTTTCCCAAATTGTGTTGTTAAAATGATTTCTCTCAGAAGTTGCATAAGTTAGTTGAGTTCTGATTTTAGTTTAAATAAAGTAGTTTCTTAAGAAGAAAAAAATACAATTTTGCAGCCATTTAATTACCTCGAAAATCTTAATCGTTCCCCTGTGCTGTTTATTGCATAAACGAAGCTTATGGTTAACAAAGCGTCATTATGCTAACCTGCTCGGTATAATGAGCTGGTCAAGTCAAAAGTTATGTTGCACGAGACATGTAAAATACCTACCATCGCTGACCACATAGGAGGGCTCCTGACAGAGAATCTCCTTGTATCCTTCACGGAACGAGGGGCTACGCCAGGCGTAGATGATGGGGTTACACGCGCTGTTCATGTACCCGAAACAGTAGGCCTGCAGTGATAACAGTTCATTGGGTTATGAGTGGAGCATTTTCTATGATAACGATATGAAAGTATTTTCATGGCATACAGATAAATGTTCATAAAGTTTGCACAATTGATATCATGTTCGTATAATTGTTGGTGGTCTAACCTCAGTCCAGTCTTAAGATTAAAATGCCGGAAACAACTGGCAAATTACAATCTACGACCGTGCAAACCAATAAAGAATGTTGATTTGGAGTTTTAAAACACATTTTTACTGTTCCTGTCATGTTCAACACAAATAACTAATTAGTAATTATATTTCACCTAGAAACCCGAAATATTACTATGAAATCTACCTATTATGTATATGCTATAAAAACTAGGATTTCCAACACTCTTCTTTTCTGATTTCCTAGTATTGCTCTTTAAAATATTTTGAATGACATTTCAAAGTATATGTGTATGTATGTGAGTGACACTGTTGATGTGTATGTATGTGAGTGACATTGTTGATGTGTATGTATGTGGGTGACACTGTTGATGTGTATGTATGTGAGTGACACTGTTGATGTGTATGTATGTGAGTGACACTGTATATGTGTATGTATGTGAGTGACACTGTAGATGTGTATGTATGTGAGTGACACTGTAGATGTGTATGTATGTGAGTGACACTGTAGATGTGTATGTATGTGAGTGACACTGTAGATGTGTATGTATGTGAGTGACACTGTAGATGTGTATGTATGTGAGTGACACTGTAGATGTGTATGTATGTGAGTGACACTGTAGATGTGTATGTATGTGAGTGACACTGTAGATGTGTATGTATGTGAGTGACACTGTAGATGTGTATGTATGTGAGTGACACTGTAGATGTGTATGTATGTGAGTGACACTGTAGATGTGTATGTATGTGAGTGACACTGTAGATGTGTATGTATGTGAGTGACACTGTAGATGTGTATGTATGTGAGTGACACTGTAGATGTGTATGTATGTGAGTGACACTGTAGATGTGTATGTATGTGAGTGACACTGTAGATGTGTATGTATGTGAGTGACACTGTAGATGTGTATGTATGTGAGTGACACTGTAGATGTGTATGTATGTGAGTGACACTGTAGATGTGTATGTATGTGAGTGACACTGTAGATGTGTATGTATGTGAGTGACACTGTAGATGTGTATGTATGTGAGTGACACTGTAGATGTGTATGTATGTGAGTGACACTGTAGATGTGTATGTATGTGAGTGACACTGTAGATGTGTATGTATGTGAGTGACACTGTAGATGTGTATGTATGTGAGTGACACTGTAGATGTGTATGTATGTGAGTGACACTGTAGATGTGTATGTATGTGAGTGACACTGTAGATGTGTATGTATGTGAGTGACACTGTAGATGTGTATGTATGTGAGTGACACTGTAGATGTGTATGTATGTGAGTGACACTGTAGATGTGTATGTATGTGAGTGACACTGTAGATGTGTATGTATGTGAGTGACACTGTAGATGTGTATGTATGTGAGTGACACTGTAGATGTGTATGTATGTGAGTGACACTGTAGATGTGTATGTATGTGAGTGACACTGTAGATGTGTATGTATGTGAGTGACACTGTAGATGTGTATGTATGTGAGTGACACTGTAGATGTGTATGTATGTGAGTGACACTGTAGATGTGTATGTATGTGAGTGACACTGTAGATGTGTATGTATGTGAGTGACACTGTAGATGTGTATGTATGTGAGTGACACTGTAGATGTGTATGTATGTGAGTGACATTGTAGAAGGATTCCACGCATTCCTGTTGGTTATTACATTACACAGATACTATTGTACATGAAGTAAACACTAACCTTATGTATACTTTACAAATATACTCCGATATATGAAGTATATATAAAAAAGGTCTAATTTCTGTTCCCAACTCTGAACAATGGAAAACTTTTTCCTACTACATATTTTTGGTAAACGACGTACCCTTTGGGACATTTTTTTTTTTTTTTTTTACCTCTAGTCATATGAGAAGTGTGTGATATCTGTTCGCATTGATGTTCCCTACGATAAAACACCAACAGAGAAATCCACCTTTGCCTTTTAGGAGAAAGGCACAATAGTCGCCTGACATATGACAATACAATTGGATACAGTAAGGTGATTTAAATAAAATTTTTTGCATCCCATCACTCTGGATGGTTTTTTTTATAATAAAGTTAAGTTTTAAAAATTTCCTTCTGTTGCGAGTCATTAAACTTATAGAATGCGATGTGTTAGGTGATATTTCACAAATTCGCTGTGATTGTGTCATGCAAAAGGCGTTAGTGTTTCCTGCGCAATGAGGAAAAGCGGAAACTGTTATACAATGTAGCTAGTTTCCAGTTATTTTCGGAAATTTTGTTTTTCAGATACTTTAACAACTTCAATGTGGCTTAATGGTGTGTAGGTAGATTTTCTAGCATGTTCAGTATGTTTGCCGTAATCACACTGTCTAGGACTCTGTATATAACTACTACCCCTATATAACGACCACCTATATGTTTCTACCAAACTCTTTATATAACTACTACCCCTATATAACGACCACCTATCTGTATCTACCAAACTCTGTATATAAATACTACCCCTATATTACGACCACCTATCTGTATCTACCAAACTCTGTATATAACTACTACCCCTTTATTACGCCCACCTATCTGTATCTACCAAACTTTGTATATAACTACTACCCCAATATTACGACCACCTATCTGTATCTACCAAACTCTGTATATAACTAGTACCCTTATATTACGACCACCTATCTGTA